GCGCTATTGTAGTCGACCGCTCACGAACAGACGCTCACCACGGCATGACATAAAACATGAGATGCACATATGGGGAACTCCACGCAGTGAGTAAATTTTGACAGGGACGGTCTGCTTGCGCGCAACTTGTGAGCAACAGACAGCATGCCGGCACCCCCGCCGTCCCTGTCAAAAACCAGTGCAGAGCGGTCGCCCGGCTCCCGCGCATGCTCGAGTTTGGGAGGCAGAGTACATTCTGTATTGTTTTTGACAGGGATGGTGTGGGGGGGTGGCATGTCCCAGGTCGGCCCACAGTCGGTTGGGGGAGGGGGTGTTTATTAAGAAGGAGCAGTGATCAGACTACCCGCCCGCTCGCAAGCCGTCTTGCGCTCTCCCACCCGCCCTCCCAACACATACGTAACACCCAAGTGTCAGCATATCGCGTACGAGCGCCGCAGGAACCACGGGTTCCAGCTGCACCAGACACCCTGGAGGCCCAAGCGTGCAAGGCGCGCCAGGTGCGGCACGTCCTCCACGTGCGCCCAGTGTTTCACGTGCTACAGCCGCGCCAGGTGCGCCAGCCACTGGGAACCAATGGGGGCTCCACCTGCGTGCGCCGCAACTGTTGATACGCAAGCAATTGCGCACGCCCCAGCGCATGCTTGTGGCTGCTGGCCACCGCGCACGCCTCCCCATCCACGCATGAGAAGCAAACTTGCGAGAAGGCGCGTGGCCTGACACGCCAACCAACCGGTGTGCACCGAACCCTCCTCGTCGAAACGCAATGCAAAGTGCACGCCAGGGCATTCACACTCCCGCCGTGCAGGCTGTAGGTTCAACTGCGACAGGGAAGCCCCGCAGCTCCGCGCGTCGCGCGCGGCCAGGCCCAGAAGGGGGGGGGGCCGTTCAGACCCCCATATCTAGGGCTAGCCCCCCTTCAGGGGGTCCCAAAACCGCCTCGTGATGCCCTCTTCGGGCAACCTTGGGGTGCTCTCGGGGCCGTCTTCGAGGCCTCGTGGGCCCGGCTTGGAGCTCTCTTGGGCCGTTTTGAGGCCACCTGCAGGCCTCCGCGCCTGGGGCCCCCAAGACCGCCTCGTGGGGCCCGCTTGGCGCCAACTTGGGGCGTTCTGGAGGCGGGTTTGGAAGCCTCGTGGGCTTGGCTTGGAGCTCTCTTGGCCAATGTTGGGGCTAATTGACTGGAGGCTTCGAAAGCCCATCGGAAACAAAAAGGCGAGTAGACAGCAGCCGTTGATATGTCAAAGCAGTTGGTCGACCACCTGCGCCCAGAAGGCAGGTGGGATCTGTTGGCGCCCCGGCCGTCCCTGTGAAATGCCCATAGAACGTGATCGCGGGGCGGCCGCGCATGCTCCAAATGTAGAGGCAGAGAGTGTGTTGTATTGTTCTTTTGTCCGGGATGGTGGAGGGGTGTGATCATGAGGCTAGCATTGTTCCGAGGGAGGGTGTGTATATCATTTGGGAACAGCGATAACCCCTCCCCGAAGGGGAAGAAGGAGGTTGGCAGAGAAGCCGCCCTAGACCACCTCCGCCCAGAGGGCTGGTGGATCTAGGATGAGGAGAGAGGAGATGAGTGGGAGGACAAATGTGTGGTCTGGCTGTGCGCCGACCCCAGGCGCCCAGAGAAAGCTTTGTAGTTGCTCAACATCCTTCCTTGTCCACCTTTTCTTCGTCTCACCCTCCTGTTCCCTCGCCTCCTCCTTCCTCCCCACGTTCCCTCCGCGTCCCTCCCCGTTCTACTTGCGCATAACGCGATGGGGTCATTTGGGAGGTTCCAGGTCCGCTATGACACTCGTCGGCGGATAGACAAATCAGCGCTATGGGAAAATATGGGCGGGGGGGTAGGATGTCAGACATGGCGCGAGCGCGCCTAGCTTCTCACTCCCCCCCTCCTGACCCCATCCACCCTCCTGTTTTGCGGCTGCCTCCTATCCAGGCTTCGCTCGGCTGCCAGGGAGCGTCTGACGCCGTCCTGGAAGCTTCGAGCCAGCTCCTCCGCGGGCCCCCGTGAGCCCCAGGACGGTCCCCAGCGGGCTCGCCGAGTTCCCGAGAGGGCCTCCCAACGGGTCCGAGTGTCCTCGCCTTCCCCACGGCCCCACAGAAGCCTCGAAGGGGGCGGGCCTTCTCCAAGGGGGGGCCAAGGGGGCGGGCCTTCTCAGAAGGCCTCCGGCCTTCTGAGAAGCTCTCGAAGCCTTCTCTGTAGACGGAGGTGGATTCTCAGGAAGGCTGGGCCCCTTTCGCTTCTCCCCTTTAGGCGCGCCGCCAACCAGGGTCAGGAGGTCACCAGTACCAGGCAGTCCCCCGGGCAATCAAATCGAGCAAATGCGCACATGCACGGATGATGAGCATCCTAACCGTAAATACCTTGCTCGAGGCAAACCCCAAGCGGCTCCAAAAAGCCCCCAAGAGGCCCCCAGAAGCCTTCCAGGAGCCGTCCAGTCGGCCACGGGGAGCCGAACCGGCAAAACCCGAAGGAAACGCAACGTTTGCCGCCTTAGGGCACCCTTGGGGCCACTTGGGCCCTTGGGCCGTCTCCGGGGCCGCCTGGGGCTGTCTTGGTCCGTTTTCGGGCCGGCTGCGGGCCCCCTGGACCGTCCTAGACTGACCGCATGATGCTCAAGACGGCCTCGGAGAGCTCCCTGACACCCCGACCCGCCCCAGGAAGAGGCGGCCCAACGGGTCCCGCAGAGCTCCGACACCGCCCAGGACGACCCCCCCCAGGGCCCCAGGACGCCACCCATCCGGCCGCAGAGTTCCCAGCACTGCCTTCATCTCGGGCAGATGCTGTGATGAGTAGTTCACGGGTCAGCCCTGGTCGAAATCACAATACCGGGTCTGCATGCCAGGAGGGTGCATGCTCTTCACTTGGGCAGCGGTGCCTCCGTGGCTCCGCTCGAGGGGGCGACGCCGTCCTGGCCCAAGAGGGCCCCAAGAGAGCCCCAAGAGAGCACCGAGAGAGCCCACGATGGCCTCCAGAGAGCCCTTAGATAGCCCAAGAGGGCCCCAAGGCGACCCCAGAGGTCCCAAAGCACGCCCCGAGAACTCTCCAAGAGGACCCTTAGAGAGTCGCGAGAATGAATAACTGTAGATGATCTGTGAGTTATTGATGCTGGTTTCGTATATTCGGGTCTCCGGCACCACATCGTCTTCTTAAACGACACAGAGGCTTCGAAATCTGCCCAAGGCGGCCGAGGCGGCCTCCAAGAGAGCCCGTAAGACGGCCCAACACCTGAAGACGGCTCCAGAAGCTTCTCAAACGGCCCAGGAGGTCCCCGAGACAGCTTCAAAAGGGGCCAAGACAGGGATCCCGAACCCAAGTTCGGAACGCTTCCCCCGTCTGGGCTCCCTCCATGCCCCCCAGGCGACCCCAACACTCCCAGAGCCTCCAACTCTGCTCCAGAGACCTCCAAACTTGTCCAAGAGCCTCCGCGACGGCTCTAGAGGGGCTCGAAAGCGGCATCCCGAATTGCAGCCACAGCACGCAGCAGCGGCAAGCATTACCAACAGCACGCAGCAGCGGCAGCAAGCAGAAGCACGCAGTATCATGCGGGGAATGCGAAGTTCGAGCACCCCGTCATCATTTCAGCCTTTTGGCGGCATGTCAACCATCACATGTCAAGTCGTGCAGCTTTTGTAGACGCAGTCCACGGGTCAGCCCTAGTATGTTCTACAGCGCCAGCGCCCCGTGCCAGAGGGCAATCGAATCAAAATCTCAAAATCGCCCCCCTCCCCTGGCGCTCCCAGGCCACCCCCAGGGCGCTCCAAGATGGCACAGGATGGCCCCAAGACGGTCTAAGATGGCCCGAGACCCTACCACACGGTCCAAGATGACGCCAATATGGCTATCCGACGGCCCGACAGGGCCCTAAGACGGCCCAAAAGTGCCCCCAGAGTCCCGTAAGAGGGCCCCGAGAGGCCAACATCATGGATGATCCTTTGGTTATGATAAGATTTCAGCGTTCTCGCCGATTCGGGCTTCAACGCTCCAAGACGGCCCAAGAGGTCCCGAAGATCGCCCCAAGACGGCCCAACGGGCCTTCCAGAAGGCCACAAGACGGCCCAGCCGGGCTCCAGGATGGCCTAAGAGTCCCCCAAGACGGCCCAAGAGGGGGAGTTCGAAGTTCCGCGCCCTCCGTGCAGCTGGAGCCCGGCGTGATCTGGTTACAATGCAGGAGCCCGTGCGCACAAAGAAGGTCCTGTGCATCAACATGTTCTGTCCGGCTCCGAGAGGCCCCTGGAGACCGACAACCGTCCCCAGCACAGCCTGGGCCCCAGGCCACGCTCCCTGGACGGCCCCACAGAGCCCAAGACGGCCGCGGACGGTCCCAAGACGGCCCAAGATGCTACAAGACAATCCAAAGAGCCCGAAGACGCCCCCAGGGAGCCTTAAGAGGACCGCGAGGAAGCCTAAGGAGGAGCAAGTTTCAGGCCGTAGGGGCCCCCAAGATCGCCCTACGACGGCCAATGAGGGCGCCGGGACGGCGCCCCAGAGGCGCCAGACAGCCCAAAGATTGCCCAAGACAGCCCCAAAAGACGGCCCAAGAGGCGCCCAAGACAGCCCAAAAGGGCCCCAGGAGGTTTCCAAAAAGGTTTGCGAGAGGCGAAGAGGCCCTGACACGGCCCCCCATAGAGGCCCCAAGAGGCGTCAAATTGCCGCCAAGAGAGGGAGGCGGACCAGAGGCTAGAGGCTTGTCGCAGGCCCTAAGAGGAGAATCGGGTTCGAGGCTCCGAGGTCCCTGGATGCTTGTTTCTTGGGGGGCGTTGCCGCAGCAGCAATCAGTAGCAGCAATCAGTAGCAGCAGCAGCAGCAGGCAAGCAAGCAAGCAAGCACGCAAGCAAGAGCAAGCAAGCAAGCAAGCAAGCAAGCAAGCAGCAAGTAAGCCAGCAATCAAGCAAGCAAGCAGCAAGCAAGCAGCAAGCCAATACAAACAAGCAAATTGCTCGCAAGCAGCGCTAGCAGCAAGCAGCCCAACGAAACAAGCAGCAACAAACACATGCTGGACAAGCTGGTAGACGTGGACGGAGTATACGGGTCAGCCCTAGTCAGCTACAACGTTGGGATCAGCGCGTGCGAGAAAGGCATGCAGTGGCAGCGGGCTCTGGTGCTGCTGAACGAGATACCAGAGGCGAAGCTGGTGCCCGACGTCATCAGCTGCCAAACTGTGACCAGGGCTTGCGACAGAAGCGGGCAGGTGCAGCAAGCGATCTGGCTGCTCACCGCGACGCGGAATGCGAAGCTCGAGTCCCACGTCGCCAGCCTCAGCGATGCCATCGTGATTGCGATGCAAAGGTCAGCGTCGCGCAGGTCCAGCCACAATCCTGAGACCCGCGTGTGCGACAGAAGCAGGTAGCCACGCCAGGCCCTGCCGATGGTCGTGGACAAATAGACGATGGAGACCACGGCCACCTCCGCTGCATGCGATGCTAGGCAGCGCGCGTGCCGCAAGGGCCCACTGGCTGCAGACGGCCTGGCCCTGGGCGGCAGCGCTGCGCCCGGGGGGCGCCCCGGCCCTGGGCGTCCAGGTCTCCTCCGCTGTGGAGCCCCGGACCGTCCTCGGCGGCCTCGCGCTCTGCCCGAAGCCCCCCCCCCGTCAGCATGCGCCCCGCGCTCGGCCACGAAGGCCCGCCCTGCCCGCGGGACGACGCCGAGTGAGGACGAGGACGCGGGTTAAGCCGAGGAGCGGGGGTGGGAGGGCGTGTGTCACAGGCGTCTTGCACATCGGCTCGGACGAGATCTCCAGGGTGCCCTGGACCCGCTGGGTGCCAACCTTCCTCGTCTGCGACACGTTCTGCGCTGGACATGCGGGCGATCGTCGCCTGGGAAGCTGGGCCAGCCTCGCAGGCGCGGTGCTGCGCGTCCTCCAGAAAGGGTTCGGCGCGCAAGTTCCCGCCGGCTTCTGAGATCCTTTGTGGTGGTAATGGTGGTGATGAGGGTCGGCCAGTCCGATTCGGTGGTTCAGGTAGCCCTCCGAGATACCTGGCGGGTCCGATCGGGAGAGTTTCCTCATCTTTTTCGTCCTCGTTAGCGTAGTTCCCCTAAGCCTCCCCCACCCCCATCCTTCTCCCCGACCCTCTTTCCCCCTCCTTATCCTCCCCGGGAGAGGACCCCTGGAACCCCATGCGACTCCCTAAACCCTCCTATCACTCCTTCTCCCCTTCGGGCTGGGGCCCTCCCCGATCACACTGCTCCAGCTGGAATGTGGTCGGGTGCAACTTGACACCCGTCTGCCCATACCCTCCCTTCCCCTCTTCCATTTCTCGAGGCCCAACAGCTGAAATTCTTGGGCGACCTGCACCAACACATGATGTGGAGATCCGCTGATGCAGAAAAGCTTGAAGGGGTCTCGGCAGGGTGCCTCCTCCGTCAAAAGTGCGATCGACAAGTGTGGGGCCGCAAAGCAATGGATTGCAGCGCTGCGCCTGTTGCGCGAGGCGTCCCAACCACATGCGGATCTCAGCCTCAGTCTATATTGTGTGACCGTCGGCATATGCGGAAAGAGCAAACAGTGGCGACATGCGCTGTCGCTTTTCAGAGAGCTGGCTGGCATGATGCTGGAGCCAGACGTCATCTGTCCTAGAATACCGGGAGCGGGAGCAGCGCGTGAAAGGTGCCAATCGCGGCAAAGCTTGGGGGGGGGGCCCGCGCGGAGGGCCTGCGCCTCCCAGACGGCCCAAGCGAGTCCAAGAGGCCGCCAGGTTCGCCGAAGGTGCCTCCAATACTGCCGAGGATAGCCTCAAGATGGCCCAGGATGGCGGCCAGCCGGCCTCAGAGGGCCCCAAGACAGCTCAGGACGGCCTCCAGCAGGCCAAAACGCGATCCAAAAGGCCCCCAGAACGCTGCAAGAGCACTCCTAGCAGGGCCACCCGGTGCAAACATCGAAGGCTTTCTGTTATTTTCCGCCCGCCCTCCATTTTTAGCATATACGACTGTTGGGCCCTTGCAGAGTCCACGACGGCCCCACGAGCGCCCCAAACCCGCCCAAGAAGCCCCCCAAGGGAATCCCAAGGCGGCTCAAGTGGGCCCCAAGACGGCCCAAGCGAGCCCCAAGGCGGCCCAAGAGGCGCCCAAGACGACCCGAGATGGCCCAGAGATGATCCATCCGAGCCCCAGGTGCGGATGACCCCAAGAGCGCTCCCAGAGAGCCCGAAGAGCTCCCCTCAAAGGATGCCACAACGCAGCCTCCTCCATATGTCAACCAATAGGCTGTCGCCGCCTGTCGGCCCAGCCGCGTTACCCTGCCATGGCACTTGCGGGTGTGCTCCACGGGCACACACTAGTCTTCTACAGCAGCGGAATCAGCGCGTGCGGAAATTGCAATCAGTGGCAGCAGGCGCTATGGCTGCTCAGGGAGATGTGGTCGCTGGATCTACAGCCAGACCACATTAGCTACAACGCTGGGATCAGCGCGTGCAACACAGGTGTAGAGTGGCAGCGGGCATTGTTCTTGATCAGCGAGATGCGGGAGGTGAGATTGGAGCCGAACGGTTTCCATTCAAGGAGGGGGGTTCTGGGAGGGGGGGGGGAGCCGAGCGAGGAGGAGGAGGAGACGGAGGAGGAGGAGGAGGAGAAGGACTCAAGCGCAGCGCACGCGAGAGAGCTCAAGGTGTACTGTCGGGAACGTTTGCTTAGCGTGTTGCTCCACCTGTTCTGGCCCACCGCGGCTCGGCCCGACACGCTAAACACGTCCCAGTCCCCAAGCACCCATGTTCCGAGCTTTCCCTGTCCTCCCGTCCTGCGGAACGGAGCGACACGCCATCAGCTCGAAGGACATGGCGTGTCGCTGGGGCCGCCGCCGCGACACTAAACAAGAGCTCCCGACCGTAAACTCCGCGGCCCTTCCCGCTCAAAGCCTCCACTCCGCCACCATCCCTCACGCTCCAAAGGGCCGCCCGCGGTATCGATCAAGACCAGCGGTGCGTGGCGATGTCTGCGCACAGCATCGGTTAGTTCGACCGGGCGCTCCTTGAGGGCGACCTCCCTCCACGTATGGGGTACAATTTGATCGAGTCGATCCTTCGGGGGCCCCGCCAGAAGGCCGCCTCCCGGGGGCCCCCATCGACCAACCTCTGGAGGGGGCCCTCCGATTGCGGGGCACCCGAGACCCTTGGATGCGAGTGCGCTCTCGGGAACAAAGCATACAGATCAGCCCGAGTCAGTTACAGCGGCGGAATCAGCGCCTGCGGGAAATGCGGGCAGTGGCAGCCTGCGCTGTCGCTGCTCAGGGAAACGTGGGAGGCGAAGTCGGAGCCCAATGTGATACATAATCACCTCTACACTGCCTGACCTGGTGCGCACCAGAGAATCAGGCATATCTACCTGCTCTCCTGCCTCAGGAGCTCCAGCTGCTTCCCTTGGGTTTCAAGGGGCGTTGTTAGACAACCCTTGGTAGCACAGCAGAGCGGCCCCACAAAGCTCCTCTCACGAGCACCGACCACCCCCGCACACGGTCAAGACCGCTCCTCTGGGACTGACTCCGACTGGTCGTGGACCCCTGAAACTTACACAGGCAAGGAGCTGTTGTTTCAATGCGCAGCCCCACAGCCCTCCCACGCGCTCTCATAGGCAGGGTTCGGAAGATTTGCAGGCATTCTCCCTCAGTACCTCCGTTTTCTGTCGCCGCAGTCTCCCGAGGAAAGCTCCTGGCCCAAGACTGGACCTGGACCCCTCAGATCCCAGAGTCGTCTAAGGATCTCCCATCCTACGCCGCCCGAGCGGGCCCAGGATCGCTTCCCAGACGGTCACGCTGAGCGCCGACACGGCCCAAGGCCGCTCGAGGCCCCCAAGACGTTGCAAGAGGCCCCCAAGGGGACCCCCAAGACGTTGCAAGACGCATGAGAAATCGTGCATGTCCAACAGATTCGCTTCCCTAGTCACCACGGAGTCCAAGACGGCTCAAGAGACCCCACATATCGCTTCAACACGGCTCAACAAGTCTCCAAAAGAGGCCCCAAGACGGCCCAAACGTTCCCAAGACGGCCCAAGACGGGGCCCAGAGGGTCCCAAAAAGCTTCCAAGAGAGCCCCAAGAAGGCAACAGGAGGCCCCCAAGAGGGCCCAAGAGAACCCCAAGAAAGTTTTAAGACGACCTAAATCCCCCTAAGACGGTTCAAGAGGGTCTCGGGACGGCCCAGGAAGGCCGCCAGATTGCCCAACAGAGCCACAGAAGGATCCCCACGAAGGCTTTGAGAGGCCGAATTCATTATGTTTCGCGAGGTGTGGTAGATGTGTTGAACACGTGCCCAAGTCTAAACACCAAGACGTTTCCAAACCTTGAGCGCGCGATCTCGCGCCCTCACGCAGTACGAGCGGTTCAACTGGCTTCATGGGAGCCCGAGACGGCCCAAGAAGGTAGCGAAATTGCCCACAGGGCTCCGCAAGACGAGTTCAGATGGCGCTATGAGCCGTATGAGCCGTATGAGGCCAGCGACCCGTATGCGCCCTCCAAGAGGCCCCCGAGACGCCTCCCCCCAAGGCCCTCTGAGGCCCATAAGCTTTACGGGCCCATGAGCACAATGAGCTCCTGAGCCCTACGACACCTGGGAGCCCGACGACCGTACGAGCCCGTCGAGCCTTGCGAACCCTACAGCCCCCTGTCAGCGCTATGCGCCCTCAGAGCCCCATCAGCCCCATCTGCCCTATGACCCCTACGAGCCCCCTGCAACACGTACGCTCATGAGTCCAAGGCGCCGTACGGCCCGATGCCCCTCACGACCTCATACGCTTTCTAACCCATACGAGTCCCATCATCTTTCTCAGTGCATGAGCCCTACGACCCTTCCCAACCCTGTCACTCCTACGACCCCTGTGAGCCCCATGTGCCTTGCAGAAAAATCCGAGACACCTTTGCCATGAGCTCTACGAGCTTTTTCGATCCTCCCTACGAACCCATGAGCCAAATCAGTTCCTCAGCACTACGAGACCTACGGACCCTGTGACCACCTCCTCCTTGCCCCTCCAGAACACCACCGCAGATGATTCCGGTCAGCAGGCGCGCCGGACCGGAACGGAAACGGAAAACATAACCCTGGAGCAGAAAACGAAAATCCGTTTTCCGTTTTCCGGTTTCCGTTTTCCGGTTTCCGTTCCATGGTTTCCGTTTTCCGGTTTCCGGTCTGGGCAGAAAGCGAAGTTGCGTTTTCCGTTTTCTTTTTTCGGGTTTCCGTTTTCCGTTTTCCGGTTTCCGGTTTCTGTTTTCCGTTTTCCGGTTTCCGGTTTCCGTTTTCCGTTTTCCGGTTTGGGCAGAAAACGAAGTTCCGTTTTCCGGTTTCCGTTTTCCGTTTTCCGGTTTCCGGTTTTCCGTTTTCCGGTTTCTGTTTTCCGGTTTATGGTTTCTGTTTTCCGGTTTTGGCAG